CCAACCTTTTTGATCCTAAGAGCACATTATAAAATATCTGTTGGACGGTGGACACCGTTTACTTTTTAAAGTTGAATTTATAGTTTATAGAATACATGCACATTAAAAAAGAGTTCGATCGCATTTCGCTTTGTGCTGGAAGCAATTTCTATTTCATTAAAAGTGAAAAAGCTTTCACATAGAATTTTATTGAAAACTAAAACATTTTTATTGTGATCGCACAGCTGCGGCACACGTTAAACGATCAGCGGGCGCCATGGTGCTCGTGGGCGTAGGGGTGAGAGCCCCTGCCTTAGGCAAATAACCTTAGCATGCTTCCCTAATCTACTAAACCAAACAAATAACATTTCTGACAAATAACACGGTTTTCTTTATCTGGATAATGTACGTGAAAGAACATTTTAAAAAATGCTAAAGAATAAAGAATTCTTCGATTATAGTAAAAACCTCTGCAGTCATTTTGTAATGTTAAACCAGTTTAGTTGAGTTTCTGCGTAGACTACCTTGATCTGATGAATTATCGCCTTCACAATTTCACAAAAGTCATTAAAACTTCAATAGCTCAGATAAGAGATCAAATTTCTAATTGAAAGATTTATCCGATTATGCTCATACTTTGCAAACTAAAATTAATAAACAATAGTTGCTCCTACTTTTTGAGTTTTAAGAACTCAAGTATATAAATCTGTAGATTAAGTACTTGAGCGATAGATTTATATACTTGAGTTTGATTAAGTAGATTTAGCCAATAACGTAGTATTTCCCCCTCCTTTTCGCACCACCTTCGTGGTATACTTGGAAGCATAATTGAGGCGAATTCGAGAGATCCGGGGTTCGAGTCCCGGTGATAGCATTGCATATTTTTTATCTCTCCTGCTTCAAATAACTTAATGATTCAACAAGTGGTGCCCGAACTTAAAAGTGGTGGACTATTCTTCACCACTAGATTTTGGCGACTGGATCCCCTAATCCCCAGTCTCCCTTTAAAAAGGGAAGTAAATAAGGTACTTCCTGCCTCGTTTCCGCTTGCCTTCTGGTGTAATTGGAAGCATACTCGATGCGTATTCGAGAGATCCAGGTGTCGAGTCCCGGTGATGGCACTGAACATTTTTCGTGACTGACAACTTTAGCAAATGGAATCTTACAAATGCAGTATCAATCACTAGGCTACCCAATGGTTAGTTGAGAGACTGTTCTTCTTATTCTAACCAACTACTGGATGGTTGCCACTACTATAACTTTATTTAAATTTAAACTATTTAGCATTCTGATTTGCGACAGAAGTAGATGATACAGGAAAGAATTATATCAAATTAACATGTTACCTAGATGAAACATTATAATTTTGCATTAAAAAACATCACCTAGTTTAAATATCGGCAACTCACCTTTCGCATTTTGCATTTCATTTTGAAAGTTGGATGCTTACTTAAAAAGAAATTTCAACAAATTATTTTGTTAAAATTCTTTGTTTCAATAACGCATCATTTAAGCACATAAAAAGTCACTTAATTACTTTAGGAAGCATATTTAGTACTTCATGCACAAAACAGAAGATATTCAATTGCATAAGGGGGGGCATGGGGAGATCCATAGCCAACACCTTAACGGAAGAGTTTCAGAATCGAATTCCGTTTTAACGACCGTTAATTCTCCCCAATCTCCCAAAATTTATAGAGCGTGTAATGGCTCTTCACTTCCTCCGATGTGTAAAAGCAGCTCAAATACGGTGCAGTATTCATCAATTTATCGCATCTAGACTTCTCATTATTCACGGTTATTAGATTCATTAGGGAAACGTGACTGAGGGATCCAATGGGATTATTGATTCCGTTAAGACGTATCTAGGAGCAGAAAAAATATATTGAAGATTTTTTTATGTCCATCGTTGTTACTTTTCATAACTCGTGCTAATTATTTTTATTACTGTATTTATATGCACTAAGAAAATAGTGATAATGAGAAACTCAAGTTATGTGCCTGGCAACAGTTGTTGTTCATGAAACTGAAACGTTGTTTTTAAAAGTTCCATCTATCCACTCTATGCGATTTTTAAACCACGCTGATTTGTTTCTGTGTGCATATTTACTACTGGTAGTAATTAAATGTACATGGGTAAGCTGACAATCTTTAAACAATGATCCTCTTATTGGTTGGTAAATTTCTCATTTTTTCATTCTGTAAAATCTATTAGTTTTCATTTGGAGCAAGAAATGCAAAAAATAAGTTTATATGTTCCAAATTGTTAATTATACATTGTCTGGAAATATTCAATAAACCTTTTATAATATTTCCTCCTGTTCTGTTTGTTGTATATATTTTTACGTATTTATTTTATTTATTTACTGCATTTTAAAATAAGTGTTTATCTATTTATTTCTATTTTGTAAAGTTCTACAGACATTAGTATTTTTTCGATGTGAGAGGACTCAAATAATCCGCAACTGCCGTGGCCGGGGTTCGAACTCCGAAACTTCCAGATACATTTCGAGCGTGCTTCCAGTTGCACCACAAAGGCACGAGGAAAAAAAATGTTTATATACTCCCCGTTTTAAAGGGCAACTGGGGATTAAGAGACACAAACCTCAAATCTTAGTGGTGATGAATTACTGTCTACCACCTTTTAGTTCGGGCGCCACTGTAGAGGCATTAGAATTTTTTGGATGTCCAAAAACTGAAGAAATTCGCCGGGATACGAACTCCAGATCTCTGGAATACACATCCAGCATGCTTCCAGTTACATCACAAAGGAATGCCGAAAGGAGAGAGAAAATACCTTATAAAATCTTTGATTTGTGGCCATTATAATTCTGTGTACTTAATTCCTATACTTTGTACATTAATTTGTTTACAATTGCCTACTAAGGTCTTAAACATGCTCACACAGATTATGCTCATTTTAATTCTGAATACATTGACTGTGAAATTGAAAATGAATTACGGAGAACCATAGATATAGTTTAGGAATCTGCACCTGGCCTTGGTTGCAGATTTGTTGACAGGTTAGTGACATTTATCAGTTCTTCGCCGGGTCAGTGGTATTTTAGAAGTTTTCAGAAAACACATTTCCAAAAACTTTGGTGTGACATTTTTCTTAAATTTTGGAATAGTGCCTCCATCTTTGGACAAAGGCGTAAATAGAATTTTAGAATTCTGAGTAGAAAAGATTCATTTAAGAATGAGTCTGATATGCTATTAAGCTTTTTGGTTTTTATGAGCGATTTGTAAACTGCGATATTAATTGTGTGTTAAGAAGAATTTCAGCTTACACTGGTTAATTTAAGCTCAACACTGGTTAATTAAGCTAAGGAGCTTGTGAAATAACAACATTTCTAATCAACACATAATGAAAATTAGGACAGCACTAAACGATTGATTTGTGGCTTGATTCTTTCCAAGATTTAGAGCATAAAATCTATCTCCCTTCCCATCTGCATAAAATCATGCCTTGAGATACTATTGATTCGGTTCCAGTCAACTGCAATTTAACGAGTCATACGAAAGTTTTGTTTCCATTGCGCATGTAATAGTTATATTTATATCATACATACTAAAGTGAATGAAGTAATAATTGTTTTTCCTTCTGATAATTTTTATGCTTGCTGGATTGGGGAGACATTGGATAATTTGGAAGCAGTAAAATGAAAAATGAACAACCGCCTTCGCCGGGAATCGATCCACGGACCTCTGGAATACGCTCCCAGCGTGCAGACCACCACACCACGAAGGCATGAAAAGAAGGCGGGAGAAATACCTTATTTAATCCCCTTTTAATGGGCGACTGGGGTTTTTAATGGTCCAGGTTTGAAATGCCTTGTGGTGTAGTGGCCGAAACCGCTATACAAACCCTGGGTTGTGACATCAGGTCCAAAGCAAAACACAGAATAAAAATTTTATTGAACGCAAAAAAATGGCTACATACAATTCGACAAGAGAGAAACTTACTATTTTCAAAAATCAAATTCTATACATTTTACGTGCGAGAGCAATTCGTGGCTCTCGAGCTTGTGTTTTTAACATTGCCAACGATTTAATTATTTTAATAAAACTATTTTAACAGCTATTGAAAACGTGTTTGTAAGTTAAAAAATAATAATTTTCAGCTTATTCTCACGAGACATCCTTGACCATATTAATCTTCAGTCTCTTCTTTTTTTATGTGATCTTATCACAACTCCTCCCCTCATAAAGAAATTTTTCTTGACTATGGAAGGAAAAATTCTAAATACTTTTCACTGCTTTCAAAACACAAGTGGTAACCATTTAAGTGATAATAGAGAAGCCAGTTACATTACCCTGCACTTATTTTTAGATAACATAACCACACAAATAGAACAAAAATAATTTAAACTACTCCTAATGTGTGCCTTATAAAAAGCATATTTCTTCAAATTTTACACAATGCTAATACTTAAGAAAAAACATTTAATTCTAACAATTTTTTTGAAAATGAAACACACAATGCAAACAATTTTGAATCTACACAAATATAATTCCAAAACTCTACAAAAATCATTTTCACCCATTTTCATTACTTTTTTACCTTACTTTATATCCACTAATGATATTCAGTCACTGGACTAGGGCACAACTCCAGCCATCTGCATTACCGTGTAATTTGCCTGGTCTATGAACAATTTCAAAGTTATACTGTTGGAGACACAATGCCCAGCGAGTCAAACGAGAATTTGATCCCATCATTTTGTTTAAAAAGTCAACGGATTATGATCCGTGTGGATCTTGAATTTTTGTCCGTCAAGTAATGACTTAGTTTCTTCAATCCATAAATAATGGCTTCTAGTTCTCTTTCAATGGTGCTATAATTTCGCTCCGCTTTAGTAAACGTTTTGCTAAGAAACAGTATAGGGTGTTCCTCCCCATCCTGAATTTGAGACAACACAATACCCGCACCATATAACCTGGCATCTGTCTGCACAATAAATTCTTTAGAATAATCTGGTGCAAATAAAACCAGACTTTTTACTAGTTTGGTCTTCAGTTTATTGAAAGCCTCGTCGCACTCTTTTTGTCCAAATAACTTTTTCTTTTTTGTTTTTCCCTTTCAAAGCGTCTGTCAAAGGTGCCGCAATACGGGCGTAGTCTTTTATGTACCTTGCATAGTAGCCCACAGTACCAAGGTAGCTACGTATCTGTGTTTTAGTAGTGGGGATAGGAAAATCTCTGATTGCTTGAATCTTGGCCTCACTAGGCGACCTTTTCCCAAACCCTTCTTCATGACCCAGAAATTTTACATGGTCTTGTGCGAATTTGCATTTCGAGGGCTTAACAGTCAATTTAGCCTCCTGAAGGCGACCTAAAACCACATCCAAATCCTTCATATGCCTGTCCCAAGTCGGCGAAAAGACTGCGATGTCGTCAATATACGGTAGAACAAAATTGTCCAGCCCTCCTAAAACTTGAGCGATCAATTTACAAAAATAGAAAGGCGCATTTAAAAGCCCAAATTTTTTTGTGCTTCCAAGAATTCTGCTGGCGAAACATCCGCAAGGATAGACCTTTCTTCTAAACTGATGTCTGCAATTTTAATTGCCCCCTCCGTATTACTGGTTAACTTCCTTTCTTCCGAATGCTCATTATTGAAGGCCCTTTCATTTTCTATCTCTTTCTTTTCTTCCGATCTAGAATCTAAGTCTTTTGCACTAGAATCTTTTTTTGGTTTTTGTTTTTTTTTAGATTTTGTTTTTTTTTTTTTTTTTTTTTTTTTTTTTTTTTTTTTTTTTTTTTTTTTTTTTTTTTAAATTCTTTGTCTTTGCACTTCTCTCTAAACTCCTGCGCGCATGCGCCTGACTACGAGTCTCCACAGCATTCAAAAGAACCGGTCGTTCCCTAATTTCCTCAATCAACGGTGCAGTTTTATTCCCTAACAAATAGTACTCTTTATCTAACTCTACCGGAGTAACCGCTGCCTTTGTGGTGACCACACCAAAATCACCTTCAATGGTGACTTTCGCCAAAGGTAAACATTTACATTTTGTGTCCAAAGGCTGTTTCACCCATACAGTTTCCCCTAATAAGTCATTAGTATCAATCCAAGTACTATTTCACAGATCTATACCAGCTCCAGTATCTCTCGGATATTCTCTTTCTATCCCATTAATTACTGCTTTCTTGAAATATGGCTCAAAACATTTTCCTAAACTCTCCGTTCCTAGATCACCAGATTAGCCTTATTCTTTTCCAGCGAAGAACAGTTAGGTCGGATATGTCTGTCCTTTCCACATTGGTAACACCTTATTTTCCGCTGTTTCTCGAAACCTGCTTCATTGAAAACTTGCTTTTTTTTAGGAGCCTCCACTTTTCTATGCTCCTCTGATTTAATTCTTTGATTGACCACTACTTTTCTGATTATAACTACAGTTAGAATTTATATACCGCTCTCTATCTTTCTCAAATGGTTTCTTTAACCCCGCTCTCTGTTCTAACCTTCCTCGTATCTCTTCGGAAAGCCTCATACTTGTCGCATTTCTCAGCTAAAATGGAAGCTGTTTTAAATTCTTCCCAATTGTCTAAGTCGTGCCCTCTTATTTCTACCGGGACTCGCCGCTTAATTTGCTCAGTGAGCATAAGTTCCTTAAGACTTTTAAAATCTTGAACTTCTACTGAATCCAACCAATTCTCTAAATAAACTCTCAATTCATACACTAAATCCACCCATAACATTCTGTTTTTTCCAGAATGTTTTTCAAATTTTGTTTTTAGTGCCCAAGAACTAAGCTTGAATCTCTGCATGAGTAATTTCTTAACATGCTGATAATCATCCCCTTTATCCGCTGGTTCTTTCACTATTAACTGTGCTACATCGTAAAGTAATAAAGGAATTAATTGCGAGACCCAATCAATCTCATTAACGTTCTCTTTTTGAGCTTTTTTCTCAAATAGCATAAAGAATAATGAAATATCTGTATTACTCGGTTCAAAACGCGGTACTAGATCTTTCAATGGAAGCTGTTTTAAATTTTTTTAAACATTTTTTTCTCTAGATTGACAACTTTCGAAACCGTGGAAGCTAGGCTATTAGTCTGAACCACATTCATCAGTTTTAACCTTTCCAATTAAAAAACTCGCTCCCGCTCCTTTTCCGCTCTCTCTTGTTCCCGTTCCCGTTCTGCTCTCTCTTGTTCACGTTCCCGCTCTGCTCTCTCTTGTTCGGTTATTTCTTCTGCTTTTCTCTTCTCAGCCGCAGCCCAAATTCTTGCCGCGTATTCTTTCGCAGCTTCTTCTTCATAGTCTTCGGCATTTAGAATAGCCTGCCTAATTTCTCTTACTCTATTTGCCTGAGACACATTTGTTTGAAACTCCTCCGATAACTCCAATAGCAGAGCTTTAGTAAATTTCCTCATAAACTCACCCATTATGGAAAACTAAAGAAAAATAACCTACCCCGAAATACAATAACACAAAAACAACAACAGGTCTATCTCTCCAAAACTGAATAACTCCCTAGCAATTCTGAACACAAATTGCCTTACAACACTTAATGATAATACCTATGCCTACATACAAAGCGTATATAAAAAAATGCTAATTTAGGGGCAGCCTTTTCCTGCTCTATATCAACTATATAAATATTGTCCTCTAACTCTGGATTGATTTAAAACTAAATTTTTCTAAAGCATACCGTTACAATACTTCATACAATTTAAGCAGTTACTAAAACAATAGAACAAACAATTTAATTTTAATTAGCAACAATAACCACAAGCTTAACTTTCAATAACCACCAGAAAACGTTTGATCCCCAAAAACAGAACTATATCCAAAATAAACCTGGTCTCGAATAACTGGCATAACTTCTCCAAAATCACAAAAATGGTACTCACCAATTTTGATGACGCCTTCGATTGACTCTCCTGGCACTATTTGGATATTCTTCCGGGAAATTTCACTATTTTGCGGCATTAGATCACGCTTCCTCCGGCGTTCCCTTCTGACACACTATCACTTGTCACTGAAGAGGCTTCACCCCGCGAACTGTCCTTGCACGCAAAATTATATCGTTGTTGAAGAGAAGAAAGTCTTGACTGTTAACATAAAACTCAAGTTCACAGGCGAAAAAGTCCGCTCGTTAGTAACAACATCGTCATAGCTTGGATTTGTTAGTAATAGGATGGTTTCTTGTTCAGGAATTATTGCGTGCGTAAGGGTTCATAACAGACTGAACGCACAAGTCCGATAAAAAGTCAATAAAATTTATTCTTATCACAAGAAATAAAACAAAATGCTGAAGTTTTTCCTCACAGATATTCGTACAATATCACAATACCGCACAGTAGTTAACTACTAAGACTTTAAATAGAACACAGTTAGAAGCGCAAGAGAAAGCTAATATGATCTCACCGCGAATTCGCTACAATCAACAACAAAAGCTTAATAAACAACTGGACTGAGTTGTTTTCCTCCAGCTTTTTAAAGCTTTTTAATTCTGCACGAGAACATTCTGGTAATTCTTTTAATTTTCTCGAGGCTCCTGGAAAGCAAAAGGGTAGAATTACCGTTACGAATAACACACAATTTCATTTACTCAATTTAAATATAAATTACGAGATATCTTTTTATTAAATGCCCGTGATCCTGTATTTTTACTTTTTCGGCGTAGCTTTCTCTTGAAACTCGTCACGCGCTGCATCGCATGGGGAAATAAAACAATTTTAATTACAATTCCACTAAAAATATGGGAATGGTCAATGTTACGAATTTTGCATACAAGTAATTAATTTTAGTGAAATTACATGTAAATTGTAGTATCATATTTGTATAATGTAATATTAAAGCATAATGTAACATTAAAGTATAACGTAACATTAATATGAGAAGCAACGCTGTAAAAGCAGGGTTATAGGGTTAAGTTCTCATAACATTCAGGTAAAATGACTATTGCACCAAACCAGCTAGGTAACGCCAAGCAAGGAATGGCTTAAGCGACTAATTTTTGTCTCTAAATTTGGAGATAAATTTGGGGCCAAACTTGATGAAATTTTAGTTTGATCGCTATGTGACGGTAATTGGCTCCATCCGTATATAACTGTAATTGTATTCGGCACTATGTAACTGTAACTGTGTTTGCCTTCCAGCAATTCTGAGAAATCGAAAGCACTAGAAATTTTCCGGTGGACGGAAGAAATTCTATGTACTAATACCGTAGAGAGCGTTAGTTTAATTCAGAATTGAATTAAGAAGGCTGAGATATCGCCGTATGAGCTTCTCTCTTTACATGCACTTTGCACTAGGTTCTGCTGAAAGTTTTAGTAGTTTGAAATGATAACTACTGATTGTGCTTTGTGATACTGAAAAGAGCTGTACAAGTACTTTCGAGTGCGAAGTTCTAGAACTCTAAATTTTTTTTAAATAAATTTCATAAAGTTCACGAAACAGCATTTTCTTTACTAATAAACAATAATAAAATATATTCATATTTTCGTAGCTCATGGAACCAAACACATTACCTTATTATTAAAAACTCTAATGAAACCACATTGATATATTTAACGTTTATGGGTCGCAAATGACCATTAACCGTCAATCAGTATAAGCAATGAAAACTGGTAGTTCCATCCGGGTTAAGGTTCTGCAAAAGGTTCTTTTGCATGTGAGTTTTGGTGGATTTCCCCAATGTAAGGTGACTACGAGCCAGTTGCCCCTAAAAGTCCTCTGCTATGACAGTGCTCTTCCCAAGCAGAGCAGATAACCGCGAATCTTTTGCCATAATTTACATAATCCTAACAAATTTACGAATGTGATGTCATGGCAAAATAGAAAAAGACACTCTAGGAAAATTTTTGGGCTAAGTGTACAAGCGATCCATGAAATAAATGGACATTCTGTCTTCAAAAAAGAAATTTTTTAGTCCAAAGGGGCTTTGTCTCTGAAGGACTATTGTTTTCGTTTTGCGATTTTGCGTTGGTTCACTATAAATGTCCGTTTCACTTTTCAAACTGTTGCCACCAAATGTTAGAGTCCTGTATTATATTTGAAAAAAATTAAATAATGAAAAATCTGCATAAATGTATGTATATTTCTCGCATTGTGATAAAACGACAGTAAATAGAGCCATCGAATTTTGAATGACGTAATCCTTCTGCGAATATGGGCATGTGGAAGCCCAAATTTAAAATTTGGAATTTGTTTTATGATCGATTTCATATTTTGTAAAACTTTAACGAATTTTTGAGTAACAAACTCAACGATTTGAACACGAGCAATGGCAGCAACCTACGGGGGGGGGGAGCTTTTTATCTCCAGCACGCGGAACTATTTATCAGAAGTTCTAAAAAATAGGCTCATTTAAAAATTATTTGGCGACATTGCTATTGAACTGAAATTTATGGTTTAAGTGCGAAGAACATGATATTTAATAAATAAAGGTAACGCACACAATGTTAAAAAACGCCCCTTTGG